TGCCTGGTAGATAGTAGACTCTAAATATCAGTATAATAAATTAATGTTACCAGACAAAGGAGGGAAACTGCAAGTCAGGACCAAGTTCCATATTGAGGGTATTCAAAGACATCCGGGCCCCATCATGGCCTACCAAGCTTCACCCATAAAATCCTAACTCAGAAAATTGGGGGGGCGAGGGGAAGTGAAAGAAGAGTATAAGCCCCTACAGGAGTCCCATTAAATGGAGGGCCCAGGAAGAAGGAACAGTAGGACCACAGTTACTTTGAGAAAGATTTATTTATGAAATCAAGAATTTCAGGGGGAGGTAGGGTTATTGGGAAGACCAGAGACTGGGGAAAGTTCCACTTTTGTGTTAACCTTAACATTATGGCCCTAACCGGTTTGGTTCAGTGGATAGAGCGTTGGCCTGCGGACTGAAGGGTGCCAGGGTTCGATTCTGGTCAAGGGTATGTACCTTGGTTGTGGGCACATCCCCAGTAGGGAGTGTGCAGGAGGCAGCTGATCGATGTTTCTCTCTCATCGATGTTTCTAACTCTCTATCCCTCTCCCTTCCTCTCTGTAAAAAATCAATAAAATATATTTAAACACACACACACATTATGACCATTCCTATAACTCAGCCATCCTGGGATAAGCTTCTAGGAGCCCCAGAGGGAGCCGAAGGTCTGGCTGCCATTACCAAAGCTGTTTCCTGACTCATCCTTGAACGTAGTCAAATGATTTCCCCCTCTCTGGACCCTTCTCTCTGCAGTTTCATTTTTCCCACCCACACCCCTTATGACATAAGATATGTAATAGCTCTTTTCTGTTCTCTGAGAGCAGGAAGGAGGTTCCCCTTCATAGAAATGATTTGGACCTTTTTCATGCTCTTCCTCTTGGCAGCTGCACCTCCTTTTCCCTTTCTACATCGGTCCTTCTTGTCTCCATTCTCCCAGCCTTAAAGCAGTCCTGAGCCCAGCCACACGAACCCCACAGCTGACCCTCACCTTCTCTAGGGCCTGACCTACACTGCTCTTTTCCTGGCCAAACCTGCAGCCAGACAGAGCAGCCCTGTGTGGGCCCCGTCTTCCATGGCAGCCCCTCCCCACTCTTCTCTCAACCCAGGCAGTCTCCTTACTGCCAAACCACTGTAGGCTGACACCCCACCCCCACCCCCACATACTCCAGCAGGGGCAGGCTGAGAAAAGGAATGGAGAGGGATCCTTGTGGGGGGCACCAAGCCAAAATTCCAGATTTTGGAGGGCTTCGCTGCCTCATTCTCACCTAGCAATTTGGCTACTGGACAAACAGGAAGGAGAGGAGACCATGGGAAGTGGCCAAGAGAGAGGCATTTTTTTCAGTCTGAGAACAGAACCTCAGGGAAGAAGCCAACTCTGAGTGTCCCTTCATCCCTCTCCCTGGAATCAGACTTTTCATCCCTCTTTGCTCCCGGGGCAGAGAACAGTGACCACATGAGACCATGTGCTTCCAATCTAAACCCATGGTTTAGCACATGATAGAATATCTTAGATTATACATCTCAGAAAATCCACGCCTCCCAAAGGCTCCTCCTCAAACAGTGGACTCGGGAGTCCCGAGGCAGAACGCAATTAGAGCTGTTGGTCAGTCCGAGACGGATTTGTGGAAGACAAAGGAAGGGTGTCCATCCCCATTTCCACAGAGGGCTGCTTTTCACACTGAGTCTTGACCCATTCGTGGATGTATTTTGACCAGTATTTTTTCAATGGAGAATAATAGCAGAGAATAGGCTAGAACAGAAATAGTAAGGAGACATACTATTTCCGGTATGTCCACACAGGATGTAAAATGTATTTCTAACTGTGGACCATAAAGTTTAAACGCTGCTGGCTTATGGAGCCATTTATGATGTAAAAGATTCCTGCCCCCACCTTAAACAGAAAAACAATGACACCCAGTATCGTATTGCCCCCTGCTTTATTTGTTACAGAGCTGGCTTCAATCCGATCCGCACCTCCTCTGGTTTCATCCATGCTGATTCCAGGGTTCCGATTCTCAGGTCTGGGCTCCCTCATGTCAGGCGAAGCTCACCCACACTATCCCTAATGGCCAACCTCCCACCCACTACAGCCTGATGGAGCCTCTGGCAACCAGGGGGGCTCTTATTCCCTGCAAGAAGAAAGTCACGGATGAAATGCACACACTTCCATATCCTCGGTCTCCTCCCGCCCATGCCAAGATGCTAAGGGGATCCTCCTCCTCTGGGCTGGGGAAGATGGCCGTCGGCATAGGGGTGGGGAGCAGTATGAGAGAAGACCATTCTTTGAATGCATGGTGTGGGGATGAAGGAGAGAATCTGCCGTTTGTAGAGTCCTCCCCTAGGAAACAACTGTGTGCCACCCTCCCACCATCACTCATCGTTTACTGGTATCTCTACCCCAGACCGTGAAAGAGGCAACTCCCCTTCTCAGCCCCTCCACGCACGGATTCCTGACTCCACCCATGATGTCCATTACTGTGACTTCTCAGTGAACCTCACTTCACATGCTCAGTGGCACAGGACTCCCCAGTGTCAGCCGCCACTTGGAGCAAACGGAGCCTCCTTTCCCATCCGGAAGTCTCCTTTCCCCGGTCCTTTCTCCAAGCTCCTGCCCTCATCGGCCTCACCCACAACTCACAGGAGAGGGATCCCGGACCCCGCAGGGCCCGCGCTGCCCCTCTTCTCCTGCCTGCTGAGGATTCGCAGCAGGATATTGTATACATCTTGTTCCATGTAGCCCTGGGGGTGGCAGGAAAGAAAGAACGGGAGGAGAAGAACAGAAAATGGGGAGACAGGTGAGGGAGAGGCCCTGAGGTATGGTGAAATGCTGTTTGCTAACGATGAGCCCTCCCTTAAACAGTATTTAACTTCAAGGATGTTTCCTAATCTTTTCAAGGAAAGCAATGATGTTTACTTCTCAGGCCTGCTGTGAGGGTTACAACCCTGAATCTGAGGCAAAGCTTCCGGTGCACAGGAAGTGTTAGATCCTTTGTAGTTATTAGTCCTAATAGAGGAGCGAGCCCCCCCACCACCTCCTCTTCCTTGGTGAGGGATACACAGGCCGAGGAGGGAATTGAGAAAGGGCATAAGGGACAGGAAAAGGCTTTACCATGGGTCAGGAATTGAAAAGGGGGGACAGCCCTAACCGGTTTGGCTCAATGAATAGAGCGTCAGCCTGCAGACTGAAGGGTCGCAGGTTCGATTCCGGTCAAGGGCATGTACCTTGGTTATGGGCACATCCCCAAGTAGGGGGTGTGCAAGAGGCAGCTGATTGATGTTTCTCTCTCATCGATATTTCTAACTCTCTATCCCTCTCCCTTCCTCTCTGTAAAAAAATCAATAAAATATATTTAAAAAAAAAAAAGAAAAGGGGGGACAAACACCTCTCCCCCTCACAGTCCCATATCTCAGGAGAGCCAGGGACCTGGCACTAGAACATCTAAAGGCTGGCTTTCCGGGAAATGACAAATATGTGTGGGTAAGAAAAGGGACCCCAAATGCAGTACTCCCCACCCAACTCTCTGTGCCTCCCTTCCCCTTGCTCACCTGAGCAGCACTCAGTAGATGGTTTCTATAGGTAGAGATGATCTCTTCATGGTTCTTTTGAGAATCCTGGGGGTGAGCATCAATGGAGGTTATGTGCCCACCCTCCCATACTCACCCTGACCCCCAAGCATGAGGAACAATAAAATTAAGTGGTCAGCTGGGCCAGATGGTCTCCCTCGACCCCTCACTAGCCCAGCCTGGACCACTGCCTGAATTCTCTGCAATTCCCAGAATTCTCCCACATCACTTCCCCTGTCCACCCTCTTCTCTAGCCGTGACCATTTCCCTAAGGGACAAAACATACCCGCAGCTGCGAGGCAAGGCGAGCATTTTCTCCCCGAACTGCTAGGACTTCCTCTGAAAGCTGCTCCACCTTCTTCAACAGCTCCTTGATCTGAGGCCAAAGGGAACCAGTGAGGCCCAAGTCATGCCCACCCCCCCCCAACCACCACCACCCAGGGTCAAGGCCAGCTTCCCTTTGCTGAGTATGTACTATGTGCCAGATGCTTTTACACGCCTTGTCACATGTCGTACTCAAAACAGCTCTACTTCTGTTCTGGGAGGAACAACACTTCTCGGAAGGAAGTATTATTACTCACATTGTTAAATACTTTGTCAAAATCACACACCTAATAAGTGATGACATAGGACTTGAACCAAGATCTTTTTGAATGAATGGTCCATGCTCTTAAGACTGCACTGGGTCCTGAACCACTTCTGGCTGCTGACCACTGAGCAAAATGGAGATGAGTGTTTGTGGTTGTGAGGCTCTGGCACAGATGTGGTTAAGGATAACCAGCAGGAGGAGGAGTGGTGGGAGTGAGAATAACAAAAATACCTGGTTGAGCACTTACCACTTCCAAAAAATCATTCCGAGGATTTTAAATACAATATCTTATTTAATGTAATCCTCACAGCAACCCTAATAGTAGCCTCATCTTATAGATGAAAAAAACTGAGACTTGGAGACTCCAAGGCTCACTCGATTTTGCAAGGATCGCGCTATGTTCTCTGGGTCTAAGGTGGTTTGGGGGTTAAGATTGGAGGTGAGATAACTCACTCGTTCAATCAGTACGTTTTGAAACTGAAATAGAAATCCAGACGATATCAGTCCAACATCCACTACACTATTCTCTTTTTCCCATTTGCTCCCTTTCCTCTTCTTCCACACCAACAGAAACCCGTCCTTTCTTTAATTGGCCCCACCTCACACTGATTCCTATTCTGTACAACTTTTCTTCTATTTGTATGCACTGTGTGTTATGTAAAACATGTGCTCCCTATATTTTTGAATCATTATAAATTTGATCATGTACACAAATTTGAATAAGAAGTCTGAATTCATTTCACAGGTAAAGTTCTAGAATTACCCAATTCATTTATAAATTGATTTTTTTTTTAAGAATTCATAAAGCATGCCCCTAGACCAGGGGTGGGCAAACTTTTTGACTCGAGGGCCACAATGGGTTCTTAAACTGGACCGGAGGGCTGGAACAAAAGCATGGATGGAGTGTTTGTGTGAACTAATATAAATTCAAAGTAAACATCATTACATAAAAGGGTACGGTCTTTTTTTTTTTTTTTTTTTTTAGTTTTATTCATTTCAAACGGGCCGGATGCGGCCCGTGGGCCGTAGTTTGCCCACGGCTGCCCTAGACACATGCAGATTGGTGACTTTGGGAGCAAGCATTAGGAAACCCAGGTATTGAACACGGCGGTTTTCAAACTTGTTACTTTGCATTGGTGCGCCCTCTGCCAATGGGAATCTTTTGCAGAACCTACTCGGGTTGAAGGGAAGGGATGAAGTGGGCCTGTAGCCTGGTCTACTTTTCTTAATCAGCCTTGAATCACCTTCTCAGAACCTTAGCAAAACCACAGCAACCCACCGTAGCCTAAGACCTGCTCTTGGGCTAAAACATGATTTCAGTCAAAATGCTAATAAACCACAGGACTCCCCAGGTGGTAGCCCCACCACATGGCTTCTAAAACCAGAGTCCAGATTTTAACACCTAAGCCCCTTTCTCTCTTCTATTTATACATATATATATATTGATTTCAGAGAGGAAGGGAGAGAGAGAGAAACATTAATGATGAGAATCACTGATCTGCTGCCTCCTACAGGCCCTGGCGTCCCACTGGGGATCCAGCTGCAACCCGGGCATATGGCCTGACTGGGAATGGAACCTGACCTCCTGGTCCATAGGTCGATGCTCAACCACTGAGTCACATTGCCAGCCCTCACTTCCAATCTTAACCCCAAACCACCTTAGACCCAGAGAACATAGCGCGATCCTTGCAAATGGCTGGCGTTCTGTTTGGGCGGGATTCACCTGACTAACCAAAGGTAGGTGCAGTTAGCAAACCTCCCCCCGCCGCCTGAGCTCATCACCTTGGCCTCCTTGTCCTGGCAAGCCCCCAGAAGATGCTCCATCTTCTCTCTCAGCAGCCCCACCGTTTT